TCCTTTTTATCTTCCATATCTCCTGTGCAGTTAGATATTGGTATGTGTTTGATACCAATGTCTTCATCATTTATTTTTAGAGACAGGGTTTTACCATGTTGCCCATGCTGGACTTCAACTCGTAGGCTCAAGCTATCCTCCCACCTTAGCCTCTTGAGTAGCAGATGTGTGCCACCATGCCCAGCTACATTTTGTTTCTCTTTGGAAATTTTTGTTTGATTCTGTTTTTTATTTCTACACTTATCATTATCTAGGCACTCATCACCGAATACCTAGGTTATTACTGCCTTCTGGCTATCCTCATCACTTTCATGTTAGCTCTCTCTGTCTTCGCTTCTTTGCAGTTTATTCCGTGCACTGCTAACAGATTGATATGCTTTAAACCATGTTTCTTTTTCTACCATGATTTCTTCCTATTAAAGAACTTAGTGGCTTCCTGTTTTACATGTGCTCTAAAATCTTGGTCTGACATTCAAAAGTTCTTCTCAAGTGATTGTGGCTTAGTTGTTGATCATATGTCTAGCTGTCCTCTACATCTGTTCAGATGTTGTAAATTTATCTTCCAGCCTTACATATCCCTTGCCTGTTAGAACTTTTGGCTTTTTCAAGGCAGTGTCTCGCTCCGTCACCCAAGATGGAGTGCAGTGGTGTGACCTTGGCTAACTGTAACCTCAACCTCCTGGGTTCAAGTGATTCTCTTGCCTCAGCCTCCTGAGGTGGGAATTACAGGTGCCCACCACCATACCGAGTTAGTTTTTGTATTTTTAGTAGAGATGGGGTTTCACCATGTTGGCCAGGCTGATCTCGGAACTCCCATCCTCAAGGGATTTGGCCGCCTTGGCCTCCCAAAGCGCTGGGATTACAGGTGTGAGCCACCATGCCCATCCTTTTCCAATTTTTAAATGGGCTATATTATTTATTTTAAACATTGAAAACCTCCAAGTGTCTGTTCTTTTTGTTGTCAGTGCTGAATAATGTTTCCTCCACAGATAAGCATGTTTTAGTTTAGTGCTCATTTTTGCTGTAGTGAAGAGCAGTGCTATTTATGTGAAAGCACATGTGGATTTGAGGAATGTTAATTTTGAAATGAACCAAAAAAAAAAAAAAAAAAGAATCAGAAGTTGCCAGACAGGAAGAAAATGTAATAGATGGCCTCCTTGGTGCTTGATTTTGCTAGAGTATGTACAATAAAATGAGATGATTTCTGGGATTGGGGAAAGATATAAGAATTGCACTGCTAAAGCTTAGGTTATGGAAAATAGGAGAAAAGATTAATAATTTTTCCATTTTGTCTATATGAGGGCAGGATTTAGGTCCAATTTTGAAGTCAGACCTAGATTGGATGAAGGAGGCTAGGGGCAGAGTTGATATGTACAAAGTACAAGGTAGTTTAAATTAGGAATCAGTGGGCCAGGCATGGTGGCTCATACCTGTAATCCCAGCACTTTGGGAGGCTGAGGCGGGCAGATCAGTTGAGGTCAGGAGTTCCAGACCAGCCTGGCCTACATGAAAAAACCCGTCTTTACTAAGAGAACAAAATTACTGGGCATGGTGGCACATGTCTGTAATCCCAGCAACTTGGGAGGCTGAGGCAGGAGAATCGGTTGAACCCAGAAGGGTAGAGGTTGCAGTGAGCTGAGATCATGCCACTGCATTCCAGTCTTAACAACAGAGGAAGACTCTGTCTCAAAAAAAAAAAAAAAAGAAAGAAAAAGAAAGTCAGGAATCAGTGAACTGTACTTTGAAAAAAATCAAAGGGGCTATGGATACTTTGTATAATTTGAATGAATTACCCCTACAAAAGAAGTGGAGCCATAAAGAAATGCCTTTTCCTCCATCAGCCCATCTGGTGTATTAAAACAGTGAGGGACTATACTGAGCCCCAAAGATCAGAATCTAGAGGAAGAAAATCATTTACATCGATTCTCTGGATGGAGGTACCTGAAATGATCCTATGCTTTTGGGGGTGTCCCTGACATTTCTCTGACTTAATCAAAATTTTACACCATTCTGAGGCTTAAGACTAAATAAAAGCTTTCGCTGACTAACCCAGTCTCAACTTAATCATTTTTATTTTTAGTTTTCTGTCATTTCTATGATAGTATTTTTATAGTTCAAGATACAATTCTATGCCGTGTGTGGTGGCTCACTCCTGCAATCTCAGTATTTTAGGAGTCTGAGGCAGGTGGATCACTTGAGGTCAGGAGTTTTAGACCAGCCTGACCAACATGGTGAAACCCCATCGCTACTAAAAATACAAAAATTAGCCAGGCATCATGGCGTGTACCTGTAATCCCAGCAACTTGAGGGGCTAAGACAGAAGAATTGCTTGAATCCAGGAGGCAGAGATTACAGTGAGCTGAGATCACACCACACTCCAGCCTGGGCAACACAGCAAGATTCCATCTCAAAAAAAAAAAAAAAAAAAAAAAAAGAGGATAGATTTTAGAAATGTATTTTAAAAATGATTTATATTTATCTTGTTTAATTAGAATGTAAATTTTTTTGGCTTTCTGGGTCTCACATAGGGCTGTACATACAGTATGAATTTAATACATTTTTGTTGAATTAGAACTTCTCAGCTGGGCGCGGTGGCTCACGCCTGTAATCCCAGCACTTTGGGAGGTTGAGGCGGGTGGACGACTTGAGGTCAGGAGTTCGAGGCCAGCCTGACCAATGTGGTGAAACACTATCTCTACTAAAAAAACGAAAATTAGCCAGGTGTGGTGGTACATGCTTGTAATCCCAGCTACCTGGGAGGTTGAGGCAGAATATCACTTGAACCCAGGAGGTGGAGGTTACAGTGAGCAGAGATTGCACCACTATACTCTAGTCTGGGTGATAGAGCAAGACTCAGTCTCAAAAAAAAAAAGAAGAAGAACTTTGCAGTAATTCTCTTGGATGCTGAGTTAGTTTGCTTTTGCTGGGTTGACAAACAACACCCCAATCTTTGTGGCATATGGTAAGACATTTATTTCTCAACAACATTCTACAAGTCAACTGTGCTCAGCTGGCTCAGCTTGGCTTGACAGTGGTTTATTCCAGTCTGAGGTTTGTTCATTATGGATGCCAGTTTGAAGGATCAGTGTCTCTTTGGGACATGGTCTTCTCTCTGTAAAGTGCAGGAACACTAGAAGACGAACAGCAGTACCTCTTAAAAGCACTTCATGAAACTGGTCCACATTCCATTGGCTAGAGCAAGACATATGGCAAGACACACACCAAAAATTTAAAGAGTAGGCATTCATATGCAGAAGGGGGAAAAAAAGTAGGAAAGTAATTTTGCTTAAGGGATGGGGGATGGGAGAGTAAGTATTTATTGAACAATAATATGCACTAATGTAGATGTTTCTGATTTAAAACAAAATATTAAAATAAACTTTTTTTAAGTGAGGTTTTAAGTATAGAGAACCTGGTAGGGAGGAGGGCTTCTAAGGATCTGGAAGTGAGAAAGATTTAATAAAAACTTCAAAGCAATATCAGCATTATAAGGTAGGGAGCAGCAAAGTCTCTTAGACATTGAAGTCTGGAGTTAGTCCTTCCTAGGTTCAAATTCTGGATCTATCACTTCCTACGTATGTACACTTGAGCAAGTTATATTTTGGATCTGTAAAATGTGGGAACCATTATCTTTTTTCATTTCAGCTCTAAACGCATCTTTCATTGCCCTGTTTGTGATACTGGAAGTTTTTCCCTTGCCAGTTACTATTAAACTTTATCCGTAGAGCGACTAGAAGGACCTGGAGAAGGAGGGGTGTTTCTTGCCAGTTCTAGTGTGCTCTGTGGCTTGCTTCTATAGCATGCAGGAATTAGTTGGACACTCAGTGGCACCCAACTCCTAAGGAGTTTTAGCAGCAACTCTCATGCAATTTTCTAGTGAAACTGCTTCCTCATGGGTGGCTTCCCTGGCATTGCAAAGGTCAACTTCCCAACAGATTCCACCAGCATGAGTTGTCCAGTAGATGATTTGTTCTGGTATCACAGAGAGTGGCTTTCTAGTGCGTTTTGCTGGCATGGCACCTCAGTAAGTTTCTCTGACACACATAGCTGTGCCTTCTCCACGCAATCTATATCTCTGCCCTGGCGAGTGAAAGTAGACCTTTTATAGACTGGTCTTTTCTTGGTGCTCTGCGTCAACTCTAGAATAGTAACTGCTCCCTGTATCTGCTATCTCTTTAACTTCTGAGTAGTAAATTTCCTGTTGTAATTAATATATATATATTTTGAGACAGCGTCTTCCTCTGTTGATCAGAGCTCACTGTAGTCTCAACATCTTGGGCTTAAGTGGTCCTCTCACCTCAGCCCCCTGAATAGCTGGGACTACAGGTGCATGTCACCATATCTGGCTGATTTTTTTTGGGAGAGATGGGCTCCTACTGTGTTGTCCAGGCTGGTCTTGAACTCCTGGGCTCAAATGAGCCTCCAAGGAGGCTCTTCTCTCCTTGGCCTGCCAACTTAATAATGTTTTATATTAAAAGTTTCCTGTTTAGGCCAGGCACGGTGGTTCAACCTGGACCTCGGCACCCCTGGTGAGTGGTCCGCCCAGCACTTTGTAATCCCAGCACTTTGGGAGGCCGAAGCAAGCAGATCAGCTGAGGTCAGGAGTTGAAGACCAGCCTCACCAACGTGGAGAAACCCCATCTCTACTAAAAATACAAAATTAGCCATGCATGTTGGCACATGCCTGTAATCCCAGCTACTTTGGAGGCTGAGGCAGGAGAATTGCTTGAACCCAGGAGGTGGAGCCGAGATTGAGCCATTGCACTCCAGCCTGAGCAACAAGAGTGAAACACCGTCTCAAAAAAAAAGGTCAGGTTTATAAGTAGTACTTTTCTCATAAGGTTATTCAGAGGTTTAAAAGGGATAATATAAGCAAACTGTTTAGAATAGTGCCTGTCATAGAACAATTACTTCAGTGTTTGTTAGTAATGTTGGTAGGATTATCATCATCATCATAACGGCCACTAGCTAGGAGTGACATTTCTACTTATTGTCCACAGGATGTTTCGTCTGAACTCACTTTCTGCTTTGGCAGAACTGGCTGTGGGGTCTCGATGGTACCATGGAGGATCACAGCCTATCCAGATCCGGCGAAGACTAATGATGGTGGCTTTTCTGGGAGCATCTGCAGTAACTGCAAGTACTGGTCTTTTGTGGAAGAGGTGAGTATTGTCCAACCATCTTGTTCTTGCATGTATGTTTATTCTTCTGGTCATCTCTGTTGTCAGAAAGGAGTTGATTTCTGGCTTAACTGTGTATCAGAATTTCTTGCCCAGATCATTTGCTATTATTAATATTTGTCTGTGAAATAAGATGTTTCAAAGAATTCAAGTATCATACCAAGGCAATAAATAGGAAGCACTGTGCTTCAAGGTCTGCTTGTCTCCTCTGCTGAACATTTTAAATAATGGGGTAGGGATAGCAATAGCAGCTTTAGAAAATGAATGCTTTCTGACCGGGTGCAGTAGCTCATGCCTGTATTCCCAGCACTTTGGGATGCCAATATGGGCTGATCACTTGAGGTCAGGAGTTCGAGACCAGCCTGGCCAATGTGGCAAAACCCCATCTCTACAAAAGTACAAAATAAAGCCAGACACAGTGGCATGAGTGAGGCTGAGGCAGGAGAATTGTTTGAACCTGGGAGCCGGGTGGAGGTTGCAGTGGACCAAGATTGTTCCACTGCACTCCAGCCTGGGAGACAGAGTTAAACTGTCTTAAGGAAAAGAAAAAAGAAAATGAATGCTTTCTGAGACTTCACAATTTGGTGACCCTGTGAAATTAACGAAGAAACTTTGGTACTTTTGTGTACCTGATAGTTTTTTTCACTAGTTATGGAAAGTACCTTGGAGAGAAGAGAAAATCTAGTGAGCCACAGTCTTCTCTTTCTTAAAATGCATAGGTACTATTTTTCTGACTCTGTAACTCTTTGTTTTTTATTTTTGTTTGCTTTTTGATATGGAGTTTTGATCTGTTGCCCAGGCTGGAGTGTAGTGGTGTGATCTCGGCTTACTGCAACGTCTACCTCTGGGTTCAAGCATACCACATTTTGTTTATTCATCTGCTGGTGGACTTTTGAGTCATTTCCACCTTTCAGCTACTGTGATAGTGCTGCTGTGAATATAGATGTGCAAATGTTTCTTTGAGACCCTTTCATTTCTTTGAGATATATACCTAGAGATCATTTGAAGAGCTTCTTCATGTAGAATATTTGACAAATTCAAATGCTGCTGCTCTGCTAAGCTGTATCTATTTGCTTATTTGGTTAATATGATAGATATCAGGATTAATCTGGATTTCTTTTTTGCATATCCAGGGCTCATGCAGAAGCTCCACCATATGTAGACAACCTGAAGACTGACATTGGTGATAAAGGAAAGAATAAAGATGAAGGGGACATTTGTAACCATGAAAAAAAGACTGCAGATCTTGAGCCTCACCCAGAAGAGAAAAAGAAGAAACGTTCTGGATTCAGAGACAGAAAAGTATGAAACATAGCCTTCTAAGTTGATTAGAAGTACATCCTAAATTAGAGGAATGCAATTTCATCTTTTTCTTTCTTTCTTTCTTTTTTTTTTTTTTTGAGACAGGAGTCTTGCTGTGTTGCCCAGGCTGTAGTGCAGTGGTACTATCTTGGCTCACTGCAAGCTCCACCTCCCGGGTTCAAGTGATTCACCTGCCTCAGCCTCCTAAGTAGCTGGGATTATAGGCACATGCCACCACACCTGGCTAATTTTTTTTTTTTTTTTGTATTTTTAGTAGAGATGGGTTTCACCGTGTTGGTCAGGCCGGTCTTGAACTCCTGACCTCGTGATCCACCCACCTTGGCCTCCCAAAGTACTAGGATTACAGGTGTGAGCCACCATGCCCAGCTTAGTTCCATCTTTTTAATCATGTTTCAGATGGTTTATACTCACTTTCAAGTTGTCACTTTGCTATTTTCCATCATGTTCTATTCCAAAAATACTCTTGGAATGTGAAGTTAAAGGAGGTAGTTAAAAGGATCTAGGACCAATAACCATGATTAGCATACTCTCTCTTAGTTCTTTCAGTTCAGCTACCTAAGGTGATTCTTTTTTTTCTGGATCTTCCTGATGCTAAATATGATCATATATGTTAGGTTGAGTCTTTGTGGTATTTCTGATATCAAGTTGTAGAGGGAGAATAAAATCTCTTTGGAAACATAACTTCTAGAAAACCAAGTAACTTTGAGGGCAGCACAAACTTCAAATGACTATCAAGATTTTATGTGATTAGGCCCTGCACAGGGCTCATGCCTTTAATCCCAGCACTCTGGGAGGCCAAGGCAAGCAGATCGCCTGAGGTCAGGAGTTCAAGACCAACCTGGGCAATGTGGCGAAACCCCATCTCTACTGAAAATACACAAATTAGCCTGGCGTGGTGGCTTGCATGTGTAGTCCCACCTACTGGGGAGGCTGAGGCAGAATTGCTTGAACCCAGGAGATGGAGGTTGCAGTGAGCGGAGATTGCGCCAGTGCACTCCAGTCTGGATGACAAAGCAAGACTCCATCTCAAAAAAACAAAAAGATTTTATATAGTTAACACAACCTGCTGTTATGTAGCTTTGCCTCAACAAAGTTTCAATTTCACTGCAGCAGTTCCTGTGATATCTGGTATTTGAGTTCCACAAACATGAGTGATGAACAATGAAAAGGATGGATTTCTTAGTCATTTTGCATGTTAAGGTTAAAATTCAGGAAGTTGCCTTCAATAGGTAAACTATAGTGATTAATGCAACAAGATAATTTGAGTTATTTCTGTGTTTTGTGTGTGTGGTGTGCGTATTTGCAAGAAGAGTTCTTTGTAAAATCTGGATCTTCTGTCTGGTTTCATCTGTTAGATGAAGTTCTTTTTTAATTTTTAGAGGCAGAGTCTTGCTCTGTCACCCAGGCTGGAGTGCAGTGGGATGATCTTGGCTCACTGCAACCTCTGCCTCCTAGGTTCAAGTGATTCTCCTGCCTTAGCGTCCCGAGTAGCTGGGATTACAGGTGTGCACCATCAGGCCCAGCTAATTTTTGTATTTTTAGTAGAGATGGCGTTTCACCATTTTGGCTAGGCTGTTCTTCAACTCCTGACCTCAGGTGATCCGCCTGCCTTGGCCTTCCAAAGTGCTGGGATTATAGGCGTAAGCCACCATGCCCAGCCTAGATCAAGTTATTAAATGTGATTTCCCCAAACCCAAATTCATTTCTGATTGAGGTGAATTTGAACAAAAGTTAGGCATCACAAGTCAATTATCAAGTGTCCTTGTTTTTCTGTAATGGTACATTTATTTATTCTTTTGCCTTGAGTGGATTCAAAGAAAGCACAACTTTACCCTGTGCCAGTAGTTTTATCTACAGCCCAATCACACTTTCCATTTTGCAAAATAGGGATAAAATGCCCCAAATAAACCTACTTTTTTGAATCTACTTCTGTTTTCTGCTCCTGCCTTCTGCTCAGCAGATGGGCATCTTATACTTCATAGAAAAAATTAAAGCTATCAGTGTGATTTACTTAAATTCTAACCCTTATAGTTATAAAACCTATCGAATCTGTGTTTGAAATAGTTCTTATTTCTTTCACTGAAGTTTCAGATGAAGAGCTGTCTTTTCCCTGTTCAAGGGTAGTTGTTTTAATGTCTTCCTTTATCTTCAGTAATCTATTTCATCACTTATTCTATTTTTTTTTCAGTCATTCTTTGTGTATTCATTATTTTACATGGTCTAGATAGACATGTTAAGGATTTCTCTATTCATAATTTAAGAAATAATAAACCACATTTTTATGCCATAGGTTTTGGTTTTTGTTTGTTTGTTTTGAGACAGAGTCTTGATCTGTTGCCCAGGCTGGAGTGCAGTGGTGTGATCTCAGCTCACTGCAGCCTCTGCCTCCCTGCTTTGAGTGATTCTCATGCCTCAGCCTCCTGAGTAGCTGGGATTACAGGTGTCCATTACCATGTCTGGCTTATTTTTGCATTTTCAGTAGAAACAGGGTTTCACCGTGTTAGCCAGGCTGGTCTTGAACTCCTGAGCTCGGGTGATCTGCCCACCTTGGCCTCCCAAAATGCTGGGATTATAGGCATGAGCCACCATGCCTGGTTTATGTCATAAGTTTAATAAAAACATATCTATTATCCTATGTAGATTCAAGGGTTTGATTTATTTTTCAGAGATTGTGCCTCTTAAAATGTTCTTCATATCTGTTTCATGGATGAATTAAAATATCCTTGTTTCTTAAGCAATTGGTGTCTTACTATAAAGAAATGTGCATAAAATCCAGATCTAAAGTACAAAGTCATAATAATTAGTAACCACCACTTGTTTTCTACTGAAAATGGCATGTTCTTCCCTGAGCCCTCCTTATAGTGCCTCATGCCTCCTGTGGACCACAGAGGTTGTGAATCTCTGAATGCCCTGTTCCAACATGGTGCTATCGGAAGTTCAGTGAGAGGTACAGAGACTGAAGGCAAGAGAGATGGCAGCAACACACCAAGTCCTTCTTAAACTGCATATTTTAATCCTTTTTTCTTCTCTATTTTGATCATCTATTTCCTCTTGACTGGTACTGTGATGTCTACAGCAGCGGTCCCCAACCTTTTTGGCACTAGGGACTGGTTTTGTGGAAGACAATTTTCCCGCAGACCAGAGTGGGACAGTTTGGGGATGAAACTGTTCCACCACAGATCATCAGGCATTAGATTTTCATAAGGAGTACACAACCTAGATCCCTTGCATGTGCAGTTCACAGTCAGGTTTGTGCTCCTGTGAGAATCTCATGTTGCTGCTTATCTGACAGGAGGGGGAGCTCAGTCAGTCATGCTCCACCACTGCTCACTCCTGTGATGCAGCCTGGTTCCTAACAGGCCCCCAACCAATACCAGTCTGCAACCCAGGGCTGGGGACCCCTGCCCTACATGTTGTCCTCCACATTCTCACTTTTCTTTTAATTTTTTCTTTTTTTAAAAAAATTTTACTCAGTGTAGAGATGAGGTCTCACTATGTTGCCTAGGCTGGTTTCAAACATTTGAGCTCAAACGATCCTCCCACCTTGGCCTCCCAAAGTGCTAGGATTACCAGCATGAGCCACTGTGCCTGGCCCTCTCATTTTTCATTTATACTTTTGTTCTTTTATATTCTCTTAATTTTTATGTGATATTTCAAATATTCAGAGAAAAAGAGAATAAGATAATGAATACTCTCTCAACACTCAATTTTGTCAGATTTTAATATTTACTTCAAATTTTTTTTAAACAAGAAATGAGTATTAAAAATACATTGCTTTTATACTCTTCTTCAGTCCCTTTCCTCCCCCATCTTCTTCTATCTTCTTCAGAGGTAAACTGGTATCCTAAGTTTGCTTTTTTGTTTTTTGTGGGTTTTTTTTTCTTTTTTTTGGAGAGACGATCTCACTCTGTTACATACGCTAGAGTGCAGCAGCACAATCATAGCTCACTGCATCCTCACACTCAGTGAGCAATTCTGCTACCTCAGCCTCTGGAGTAGTGAAGACTACAGGTGTGTGCCACCATCCCCAGCTAATTAAAAAAGAATAAAATTTGTAGAGTCAGAGTCTTGCCCTGTTACCCAGACTGGAATGCAATGGCACAATGAAAGCTCACCGTAGCCTCGAACTTCTGGGCTCAGGTAATTCTTCTGCCTCAGCCCTATTAGCCAGGCCTATAGGCATGCATTGCCATAACCAGCTAATTTTTAAAAAGATTTGTAGAATGAGGTCTTGCCCAGGCCAGTCTCAAATTCCTGGCTTCAAGAGATCTTCCCACTGCTGCCCCTTTTGCTTTGTTTGTTTTGTTTTTCTTACTTTTTCCTATTCAGTGCTTCAGTGGCTGCTTTCTCTCACCTGCTAGGCCTTCAGAAGTAAGTCTTATATTCATAGCTCTGTGCTTGCTTCTCATTGTATTGAAGATCCAGTCACTGAGCCCAACAACAGTTTAGCAGAGGTTCTGGGGCAAAGCTACGGAGAATGCTCTAAATAAGCATTTTCTCTAGGTAGCAGCTTACTAAAACTTCACTCCTTTTATGGTCAAGAGAAGCCCTGCAGTAGCTTCTTGTGGTTTTATTCAGTGAATTTTGCTCTGAGTCCATGCCTCCTTTTCTGCACATTTATTGACCTTCATCCCATATACTATGTGCCCCTAATTGCTTTGCCTGTTTTCAGACTGAGGCCCAGAAGCCTACAACTTTATTTCTTCCATCACAGAATATTTCTATGTAGTCTCTGACCCACAGAGATGGTATCTTGTTTTGAACTGGTTATGCCTTTAAAATTTTCTCATCTTTGGATTAAAGACTTAAACATAAGACCTGGCACCATAAAAACCCTAGAAGAAAATCTAGGCAAAAACCATTCAGGACATAGGAGTAGGCAAGGACTTCAAGACCAAAACACCAAAAGCATTGGCAACAAACGCCAAAATAGACAAATGGGACCTAATCAAACTCCACAGCTTCTGCACGGCAAAAGA